GGATCAAGATAGGTTAGGGGCCTCGGAGGGGGCGGGGAAGGGGAAGGGGGAGGAGGAGCCAGGCAGGGAGGGAAGGTGACCCTGAGCAGAGTTAGGTGGCATTGGGGTGCGGGCAGATCCCCTCTTCTTTCTGAAACTGCACCCCTTCTCAGATTTTGTGCTCTTGGAGAAGTCAGTTGAAGTGAACTTTGGAGGCCTCTGAAGCTGCTGGAAAAGAAGGTGCCTGATTTCTGGGCAGCAGGCCCCGTGGTCTCTCCTCCGGCTCTGCCCTTTTTGAGACAGGGTCTTTGAAGCCCAGGCTGGCCTTGAACTCAGGAACTCACTGATCTCAGGCCGGCTTCCCTCTGCGGGTGCAGCCACCGTCTTGGTTCTGCAAGTGCGTCCTCAGCTGTTGTCTCAGTCTTTCCAAGAGCCCTGAGAACTGGGCCGTCCTGTCCCCACTTTCCACAGGAGAAGTCAAAGCCTCAAGGGAGACGTGTCAACGGAGAGGGACCGTGGCTCTCCCAGAGTAACCGGAGCAGTAAATGAGGCCGAGCTACAGATGGGTCTTCGTGGACCCCAGGGTGTGGGCGCCCTCCCTCCCCAGCTGACTTCCTGTGGATGCGGAAGAGAGGACAGACGGCCTCCGCTGTGTCTGTGGTCCCTGCAGGAGGAGGCCTGCACTGAGGCAGAGGCCGTAGGAGCTGGGAGTCGCCCCAGCCCACTCAGGTTGCTCTCTGGCCCCGGGAAGCACCCACTGCGGGTTCCCTGGAGCATGAATTCCTGGGGTGTGAGGCTCTGCGAGGGGAGAGCAGTCACTGTCTTGGTGGCTCCCTTGTGTGGAGCCCCCCAGTGCCTTGCTTTTCCTCGTGGGGTGGCTTCCAAGGTCACAGAAAGTTTCCCCTCTGCCTTCATCTGAACTTTCTGTCCAGAGTACTCTCTCATTCTTGACAAATTTCCCTTTCAGGACCAAAGGTAGAGGCAGCTACTTCGTTCAGCTGGCCTGGGTTCCTCCAAGAAGCCTTCCTGGACTGGCTAAAACATGAGGTTCAGCCCCAGCAGGCTGAAGTTGATGCAAGCCGAGCGGGAGTAGGGAGGGCCCAGCCCCAGCCTGGACAGCCCGAGCCCCCCGGACATCGGGAATCAAACCTTGCTTGACCTGTTGCTCCTGCGTCCAGCAGCTGCCCATCTTGGCCCATCAGCCTACCCTGTCATCTCACCTGCGACACCCATGTCCTCAGAGAGCGAATCCGGTCTCATGTTCTAATAAAATCTCTTGACCATCCCGTGACGGCAGTGGTGTGTGGCTGTGCCTGGGCAGGGCGGCGGGAGGGTTCCCTGGAACAGGTCCGTGCTAACAAGCCATGGTATCACCCAGGGCAAGCCTCCAGGATGCCAGGACACCTAGGGGGGCTCCTCCCACCCTCTGGGCTTCTGCAAACCCCGCCGGTGACCTGATCCCTCCCAGCTCAGCCATGGATGGATGCTCCCACCTGAGGAAGCACCTGGGACCAAGCCCAAGACCGAGAGAACCGGAGAGGGTGTGCTCCCCGAGGCACGTAGGGGAGACGGGGCCCCGTGTCCTCCACGAGATGCCCCTCAGACTCTGGGTCTGCACCGTGCACAGAGCAGCAGCACCAGGTCCCTCAGGCGCCCACCTGCCTCCTCTCCATCTGTGCCCAGTGGAAGTAGGAGGGGAGGATGTGACAGCAGAGAGGACTAAGACCTCGGAGTGAACACGGGGTCGGAGGGCAGAGGCCACAGCAAGAAATCAGAACTGAACTGGCACAGTGCTGCATACCTGCAATCCCAGATCCCTGGGAGTCCGAGGCAAGACATTGAAAACTTGAGGCCAGCCTGGGCAACCTAATGAGATCTTGTCTCAAAGGCTTTATTTTTGTTCACTTAGTTTTGTCGTTGTTGTTTGAGACAGGGTCTCTAGGCAGTGCGAGTTAGTCTTGAGCTCCCTCTGTAGCTCAGGCTAGCCTCTTGTGACAATCCTCCTGCCTCGGCCTCCCAAGCATTTAGATTATAGGCGTGAGCCATGACGGCTTTCAAAATAAAAGTTTTTTAAAAGGCTGGCAAGGGCTGGGGATTTCGCCCAGTGGCACTGCACCTGCCTCCCAAGCGCAAGGTCCTGAGTTCAATTCCAGGTATTGAGAAAAAGAAAAAGAAAAAGCCTTGGGAAGAGGCTCAGTAGTAGAGTCCTTGCCTAACATGTGCAGAGGTCTAGGCTCAATCCCTGGAATCACCAAAAAAGAGAAAAATTAAAATGGTACTGGCCATGGGAGAAGGGGAAAACAGATCTCCTTCCCAACCTGTTCCCAGCCCTGCCCTCCTGGTGCTCAGCATGGTGGGTGCCTGTCAGGATGAGAGGATTACACGCCAGGTCTTCAGGACCCCCAGAGGGCAGGTCCAGGAGGGCCCACTGAGGCAGCACACGCCGGCCAGGTCGGGGGTTGGTGGAGCAGGATCTGGCCTTCAGTCAGCACCGAGACCACTGTGGCCCCTGCCCCTTGCTTTTGTTTGGCCCCAGAAGCTGGAGCATAATCTTCCTGCAGGCAGTGGCTGCTGTCACAACCTCTGCCTCACTGGGTGAAGGGGTTGTGATGGCTGGGGAGGCAGGAAGGACGCACTGACAGGAGAGGAAAGGGGCAGGGGAGAGAGCAGAGACCCAGTGTCAGCCTGGGCAGGAGGTGGGGACGCCGGGACACTGCGGAATGTGCTCTGAGGGTCCCACTGAGTCGATGCAGATGAGGTCTGTATGCAAAGGAGCCCATCTGTATGCAGATGAGGAGCGAGGGCGTTCCCTTCTCAGGGTTACCATAGAGCCCAGCCCTCCGGGTCCCTCAGGGCTCCAGCTGCAGGGCAGCCCTGGGGAGAGGCAACCTGCTGTAGAGGGTTAGACTTCAAGAGGGACTAGCTAAAGAAAAATGGCCGGTTCTGGGAAAGAAACGGAAGGTAAAAGAGGGGACACAGAGGGGCCCCTGGGAGGACAGGGCAAAATGGAGAGGGTGGGCCTCGGATGAATGCCCCAAGCACACGAACACATCGGGCCGGCAGAGAGCTCTGCTGCGGAGGGTGGAAGGACAGGAGCCTTGACCGGACACCACTCCTCTCAGGCCCTCAGAGCCCTCTGCAGAAGGGTGCAGGGAGGCCGAGGCTCATCCGGGCCTCGCCGAGGTCACAGTCTGCCAAGGCAGGGCTGCTGCAGGCAGCCACGTCCTAGGCTGCCCTCCACCTTCCTGGCAGACGGAGGCTGGCACAGCCCTTCCTGACCGAGGGAGGTGCTGAGGGCGGCCTGTGGCCCAGGGGAGCTGGGTTCACCCCCAGCAGGCTCCCCGCGCTGGGACCCACAGTTACCTTCACTCAGCAGGTCCAGGCCCACGCTGGCCCACCCCAGGGCCTCTTCCTCGAGCGGAGGGGCTCTGAGAACAGCCCCCCATTCTCTAGTGGCTCCCAGCCCCCCACGTCCAACGGGGCAGCCAAAGCCTTTGTGGGGAGGCAGCGGGGAAGAGAGGCCCCTTGTTGGTCCGCTCATCACGCTGGAGGCTTGGCCCGCGCCAGCCCGGCCCGGCTGGACTCTCCTTCCTGGGGTGCCGGCCAGCCAGCCCCACCCGCTGCTCAGCTCTGTCCTTTCCTGGAGCCTCGGGCTTTGGCCATGGTCCCGGCTGACGGATGGTGGGGAGCCCTGGCCCCCACACACCCTGCACCTCGCCATTCACACGCTGGCACCAGAGCCGTGGGAATGCTGGACGGCAGCTGGGCATCTGTGCCCTGCTCTGCCCACCCCCAACCTCCCCAACCTCAGAGAGGGGAGAGGAACAGGCCGCCCCTAAAAAACACCCCTCCAAGATGGGGCCCTAGAAATCCTTAGCACTAATTATAAATCTGGGGACAAACAAAGCATTTGCAAGTCAATTAATGACAGGACTTTCCCAGGAGAGTGTTTGGTCCGGCTGGGCTTCAGACAGGCCACATGCTGGGTCACCTCATCCCTCCCCTACCTCTGCCTGGCTTGCAGCTCCAGGACCAGCCATGTTCTGCTGCCTTCCTCTATGTGGCAGGGGTCTCCAGGGCCCCGTGGCTGGCCTCGCTGAGGTGAGCTGGAGGTCACACAGGGCCACCACCAGGGGGTGTGTGTCGGCACTGGCTGCAATGGACCTCCTGGAAGAAGACGCCAAGGGGGCAGCCCGCCCAGACAGGGTGGCTGGGGTGACAGGAAAATGGAAGTCATTGTGAAGGGGCCAGAGATGCTTCCAGAGAACCCAGGACAAGGGGAGGCCAAGGAGGAAGGCAGCTGATTTCAGGCACCCCAGAAATTGTACCCAGGCCAGGAGGGAAAAGGCCCTCAGGGTGGCAGCTCCCCTGGTGGAAAAACGTCCACGTAACTAATCGGCCAACCAGGGCCAACCCCATGGACAAGGATACAGAGCAAGCTTGATGTGGTAGTGCACACCTGTGATCCCACAACCAGAGAGGCTGAGGCAGGAGGGTCCCAAATGTGAGTCCTGCCTGGACGCTGTCTCAAAATAAGATAGAAAAGGTCGGGCTGGGAATTTAGCTCAGTGGTTCCACTGCCTGTCTTGCAAGCACAAGGGACCTGAGTTGGATCCCCAGTACAAAGAAAAAAAATATATATATAAAAGGTTGGGGAAGGGCCGGGGATGTAGCTCAGTGGCATCGTGTCTGCCTTGAAAGTGCAAGGTTCTGAGTTTGATCCCTGGAACCACCAAAAAATAAAATAATAAAAGGTTGGGGATGAGGCTCTGTGAAAGACTTACCCTGGGTTTGATCTCAAATACCAAACAAACAACAACAGAGCACAGGATCTGGCTTCACACAAGGCAGAGAGAGGCTTTGAGCTGGGAGAGGGGCTCTCTGTAAGGGAGGACCCCTTAATTGGGGGGAGAGAGGATGGGAAAGGGGCTGTGCAGGGCAAAAGCCCTAGAGCCAGCCCTGCCGGCTGAGGGAGATTAAGGGATTATAATTAAAGTGCATTTGAGGGGCTCGAGCAGGTGGGTAGGGCTGGTGCTAACGATCTAATTGCTGCCCGAGTCTGGCTTCCCAGGGCCTGGCTGCCAGGCCTGTAATGAGCGGAGGGCTTGAGAGGTGTGTTTTCTGCTGGGAACACCCCAGCTGGCTTGCTCACACCCTAGGCCCTCACTGAGGAACTCAGGTGAAGGCCCAAAGAGGACCAGGAATGTGAAAAAGTACGTATCCACCCAGAGGAGGCTCCAAGAGGGAGGGGAGAGAGAGAGAGTGAGGGAGAGAGGAAAGGCCTTGGAATAAGTAGAGCCACCAAGTACTGAAACATCCCTGCTCACGCACTGTACTAGTCCCCTAGCGATTTCTTAAACCCTGGCGACCACACCAACTGCACCATGCCCCACCCGGCCCCCCCAGCAAAGTAACACCAGGGTCCCATGGCCAGACCCTTCTTTTTCTTAGGAAGGGACAGGAGGGGTTGCTAGAGAGGGGGCTGGAGGTCGGGAGCAGGCAGGCTGCTCCTAGACTGTGCCTAGGGGAGTCGAGCCTCACACCCGCGTGGCCTCCCGGTGGACCTGGACGGGCATGGGCGGCGCCCCTCTAGGCCTCGGTCTGCTGTCCTCTCCCCATGGAAAGCCCCTCTGTACTTCCTGGCTACCCCATGCAGCCCCCCACCTGGCCCTCCGGAGGCTCCTGTCCTCCAGGCCAGGGCTCCCCAAGAGGGGAGGAGTGCACATTTATCAGAGCCTGGTGAGGAGAGGGGTAAGTCTGTAACTTGAGGCACAAAATCCCCAGGACACAGTAGTTCTGGGAGAACACGCGGAACTCGGGACAGAGGTCGTCTCTGTAATGGGAAAGGGTGCTGGCAGGACGACCGCTCACCAGTAGTGTGCTCTTCTGCGCCTTTAGGGCTTTGCTCTGCATGAAGAAATCACTTATTCGGAATACATTTAAGTTGTCATTTTTTTTCTCTTTTGTGGTGTTGGGGTGGAACCCAGGGCCGCATACATGCATACAACTGACTGAGCTATCAGCTGATTCCTGAAGTTGGACTTAAAATTTAAATCTCTGCTTTTTTCCCTCCAGTATCAGGGATTATTGAACTCAGGACCTCGCACGGCAGGCACAGTGCCACTGAGCTAAATCCCTGGTCCAATCCCTGGTCTTTTTAAAGGCTGAGAAATAACGGGGTTTAACCTCAAAGGCCAGAACATAGCAGGATGCCAGAGAAGCCACCTTTGAGAGGGACCAGTGTCATTTCGGACCCGTCTCTCCACCACCACCGTCTTCCACCTCCTCCTGGCCCAGCAGACCTGGCCACTGCATGCGGTCAGCCCCTCGACTCCGAGAGCCTCACACCTGCCACCTCCCTGTCCTGTTGGCTTTCTGGGAGGGACACCGGCCGTGAGCCAGCATCTGCCTTCCAGGGTGTCAGTGGTGGTCGCTCCCTGTCACATCCAGGGATGCGTGGGAGCCCTGCTTGGGAAGAGGCCGCCACACGCCCCACATGGCCCAGGCCAGAGCCTCCCTGCTCCTTGCTCGAGCGGGTGTGCTCTTCCCCGGCCTCACACCCTCTGTGAACCTGGACTGGCCGACCCTACCCAGGACTGGCCGTGCCTGCACCCTTCCCTGCCCACCCAGCACAGCCCAGGGCAAAGGCACTCTGGCCGCTCACCTTAGCTTCCTCACCTGAAGAATGGGGTTGCACCCGGGAGCTGTTACCTGGAGCTGTTGGAGATTAGGGGGCCAATGCATGTAAAGTGCCTGGTGCAGCAGGGTGGGAAGCAGGACTCACAAATGGTGGCTGTCATTATAGTTATTAAACGGGAGGGACCCTGAAAAACGGAAGGGCTCCTCATTACTGCTAGGCTGGGAATAATGAGGCCTTGCGGTAACAGCCCCTGGGCGCCCAGGCACCGGTGACAAAAGGACACAGGCTCTGGTGGCCGACAAAGTGAGAAGTGAATGGCGCACAATGGGACACTTAGGGGCTTGGCGGGCGGGGCTTCCCGGAGCCCTGGCTGCGGCTGAGGAGCAGGTCCT